TTCCTCCTTAATGTAGAGTGCCACACCCGCCTTTCCTCCCTGTCCTGTCCCTCCTGTACAGCCTATAGCTCTTAATATTCACCGCCCAGTCGTGCGTTGGGTCCCACCACGTTTCAGTGAGCCCCACTATGTCCAGGCTTGTGTTAGCTAGCAGGAGGGTAAGTTCCTCTTGCTTGTTTCCCATACTAGACACAGTTACAGTAAGCAACCAGATCAGTGAAGCAGGGAACATGAGGTATCTTAGTCCCCATCCTGAAGCAAGGCAAAGGCCAGCAGTCAGTGGTTCCCAGGCAAATAGGAAAACAGAGCACCCGCTGGGTCATGCATAGACATGGAACATGGCAGCATGTAGCAAACAGCTAACCATGTTGGTGAAGAGGGGTGTGCATTCAGGAAGTGGAAAGCCATCGCCCTAAACAGAAGCTGCTGGGTTCATTGATGTGCTCCTGTTGTGCCAGGCCTTAGCAGCCATTACTGTCTCTCCATCAGTGAGAGATGTGTTTTGCTCAGTAAATGACATGAAGCAGCTGCAGCCCTATACATCTGTAACAGTTGCTCCAAAGGGCTTTTTTGTTTTTTTAAATGGAGGGAACCTTGTCTGGAAGTGGGGAGGGGAGGTTACAATTGTTTGCAACAACAGTGCTTCTGAGATCCAGCCAGAATCTGGTAGGTCCCGTCTGGTTCAGAGAGTGGGAAAACAACCCCCGCCCCATTCCTGTCTCTTTGGAGCCTGCTGCTGTCAGGCTGGATGCTGCATTTCACAGGAATCCTTCATGCATCACTGCCCTAGAGTCTCTTCAGCTGCAGAGGGACTGGACCTCAGGCATCTGTGGTGTACATGCCTTGCCCACTTGTCATTCCTTTCCTCTGGTCCCACTCACGCAGCACAAATCCCTTTTCCATCAGTGCCCAGAGAAGCAAGGGGCATCGGCCACATTCACCCTTTGTATGCACATTCAAAGAGCCTATTGAATGGCACCGCACACCCAGCCAAGCATTCACTATTTTTTTCCCAGGGGTTCCCAAATGCAAATCACCCACCAGCTCCAGCAGGCAGAAAGGGCAGTATAGGCACTGTAGAGCAGGCTCTCTGGAACATCCTGGATGCTCTTTGCTTCTTGTCTGGTGGCTGCTACTGCTCAGAAGGGCACTTTGACCTTCAAGGACACATGAGTCATGGCTTGTGCAGCAGAGAAGCAAATTCCTAAAAGTAACTCAGAGGAACTTCTGTCAGCTCCTGACACATCCAGGTGCACAGACAGCAGAGACCTTGCAGAGCCCCAGTCATTCACAGTTCCCCAGAGGGACTGTCTTTGTCAGCTAGTTTCTCCTCATTCCACCCCTTTTTCTTTTTTCCTTTCCTGGCTGGGCTGATTGGGTTATTAAAAGCAAGAGCACACAGCCTCATCAGCTCCAGCACAGGCTTTTCAGGATGCCAGGTGGGTTCAGCAGAAGATTCGGTCAGCAAAGTTCTTCCTTCGAACAGAATGTGTTTGTGTGTGCAGGGAAAGGCAAGGGGAAATGGCTTAGCTAGGCCAAGCAGGCTCCATAGGGACAGGGCAAGGTGTTGGCTTAAAGATTGTATAATCCTTCCAGCACCCAGCCAAAAATCAAAGGCTCATTTTTCTGGGGGAGTGCACCAGTAGTGCACAACAGTCCCTAGCCAGAGTTGTAATATCAGTCAAGTTAGAAAAATGAGTAGGAGGAAGGCAGAGCTATTATCTCCATGTCATCTGGGACCTGAGGCACTGGGACGACGAGTGGCTGACACGAGGTCACATGGAGTCTGTGGCTGACCTTGGTTCCAGTTCACTTCCTCAACCACAAAATCAGCTTGTAGAAGTACAGAAATGTGGTGAGCAGGGTTGTGGTCCTGTGTGTTTTCCAGATATCAAGGAATCCGTGTCAGAGATTGTTCAGCAGAGAAGAACGATCCTAAATTTAATTCACCCCTCAGTTCCTTAGTTTCTCTCCCCATTAATGGGTATAAGGCTACGCTGATTAACCCCTGGGTGGGGTTGCTGTCTCTTGGATAGGGGGGCTTTTTCCTCTCAGGGTAGTGAAAGGTAAAGCACAGTGGAAGAATGGAAGTGTCACAATTAAAAAAGCAAAAAAAATCAGGAAGGGCAGCAGAGTAGGGTGGACATGGAGGAGAGGGCTAGCAGAATGCCATGTGAGAGGCCCGTGTAGGAGGAGAAAGGGCCAAATGGTAGAATCAGCGGACCCTCATCAACCTGGAACAGCAGCTAGGAAGGCTACCTGGAAGGGAAATTGGGATAAAGGGAAAAAGTTGTTAAACTCAAGCAGGTATAGACCACCAGGTGAGCACTCTGTTCCTGACAGTGTGGGTGGTCTTGCTGAATTGCATTTGGACAAGTTCCTTCTCCTCTCTTTGGCTCCATTTCCCCAAGTGTAAAACAGGGACAGTGATACTCTTCTGTGAAGCACTTTGGGCATAACATTCAAAAAAAAGTGGGGCCGGAAGTGGGAAGAGAGGAATAAAAAAAAAAATACACTTGGAGCTGGTTCATATGTTTCAGACCTGGGAGGGCTAAAATGAAAAAGGGGCAGCATCTCAGAACTTACTGTTACTGTTTGCTGGAGGGGCACCAGTGCACACGTCTGTACCTGTGTGTGTCTTTTGGCAGGACGTATGTGGGACTGAGATGCTGTTAAATAGCCATTGTTCCTCAGGCCCAGTTTGCCCTCAAGCCCAACATGATTCATGTTGATTTCTTGGCATGTACTGCAATAAGTTTTTGTTTCATGCACCCACTGTTGCATGAAACCCACTGTTTCATGCACACAGTGGGTAGGTAGGAATATTAAGCTGAATTCTCTTCTGCCCACACCTGATTGAGTTTTGTACAACACGCTGTGTTGTGGCCTTAGCACTAGTTGCCCATGGACCCTTGTAGAGTCTACAAAGTAGACCGCAGGGGAGACGTGCAGGGCTTGCAGCTGTCTGTGGTGCTGAAGAGCATCATCCCTGATGCTATGAGACTAACAAGCTGCAGCTGTTAGGCTACTGGATCTGTCCCCAGCCTAGAGTCAAGACGATCAAGGCTAACACTATATACTCATATTTCATAAGGTTTCCATGTACCTGGTTGGTACATTTTTAAGTGTTATGGCTCCCTTATGTAGCTTGTTCCATTCCAGTTTTCCAGATCCCCATCTCTTCCTCCTAATCAGCCGGCTTGTTTCACTTCAGTTAGGCTTAATATGTTGGCTTCCTCCCTTGAGAAGACTCTGTCTATGCTACACTCTGTTTGTGGGTTTTGTGTTTCCTGGTGCTTGCTATGTGTGTGTTTGTCTAACATCATTTTCTTTGCTTCTCAGTTGCGTGGAGGAGTACAAGCTGGCCCCAGATGGCAAATCCTGCATCATGTTGTCCGACATCTGTGAGGGCCCCAAATGCCTGAAGTCAGATGCTAAATTTAATGACACCCTCTTTGGTGAGATGCTGCATGGATATAACAACAGGAGCCAGCATGTCAACCAAGGCCAGGTGTTCCAGATGACTTTCAGGTACTTCCCCAACTTTTCTCTGGTCATGTTGTGTCACTGTATTTGTCAGATATACCTTGAATATACTGCAACACCAAGGGATCAAATGCAAGGAGAGGAGGGGCTCTATGTTGAATGTGCCCATAGGGAAGTGTGGCAACTCACTTAAGTGTGAGGAGGAACAAGACCTGTGAAGTTCTCCTTCTCTCTGCACAGTAGCGCATGCTGTGACATGGTCATCAGCTGTTGATTTTCAAGGGGCTGCGCTGAGATTATCTCAACTGAGGATCTGGGCTAAGTGTAATCAGTTGGTATCCCACAAAAGCATGTCAAGGCTGAATGCAGGCCTGCTCACTACAGGTGAACCTTGATTCTTTTTTTTTTTACAAGGTCTCTCTTGTACCTCGATTTTTTTACCAAGACGCTGAGGCCATGTTCTTCCCATTGACTTCAGTGGGCATTATGTGTGAAAACTTGGACTCGGGGCTTTTTTTCCAGTTGAGTATAAGATCTCCCAAGCAGTGTATTGTACTGAATTCTGGCTTTTCACCGTGCTGTTGGAGGCTCTATAACTCCTGCTACTTATCTGCATGGATGAAGGCAATAGAAAGCTGAGGGCTCAACTGCTTTCAGTGGTGGGCAGCTAGGAGTCGGCAGATCAGCAGGAGTGAGAACTGAACACACAAAAGCAATTTTCCTAACACTCTCACCTTTAATTTCCCTTTGTACCATGTGGCAATGACAACTGCTGGCAAAGCCTTCAAAACAGAGGGAGGGTTGTGCATCCAAAATCTCTGCTGTAAGCTTTTGTTTCCTGGTGGCTGAGAGAGGCCAGGAATTTCATGAAACCCACCAGCTTAAAAAGCCCCTTGTGTGCCTGCTACAACCTCACTCAAGCTCTCCATGCGTCATCACCTGCCCCAGCCTGCACTGTCAGTCTCCAGACTACAGGCTTCCTCTTGCTGGAGCTTTAATTTCCTTTCCAGCTCCTCTAATAGAGTGGCCTTTCCTTGCATTGCACTGGAGCTGAGGGATTTGTCGAAGGCAGCCTTCTCCTTGCACAGACAGTGCTCTGATTGAAGGGCTTGTTTATTGCTGCCTGAAAGCAAACACATCTCGTGAGCAGGGCTTAGGGACTCTGAGACAGGCGTGTTCTCTCCTTCAGCATCACGGCACCAGGGATGGATTCTGACAGGAGAGATGCTTTTAGAAAGTGGAACATGCACAAGTGATTAGGGACTGAACTGCCTCCCCATCTCAGCATGGCTCTCAGGCTGTTTGGAGCTCTTTGGTTTATATGAAACCTAAAAAGCCCCAGGCCTCCTTTATCTGACCATGCCAGGTGTGCTTCACTCTGGGGTGGGATTAAAAGCCAGGCAAGAAGCTGTCCTCTGAGCTAAGTATCAGTCACAAAAAAGATTTTGTAACTCTGCTGTACACTGGGAGACACTTCCCTTCACTCCTGACTTCAATGGCCAGCTGCCTATAGCCCAAAGTGATTTAAAAGACCACCCAGCCATGGGACTTCTTGGGTGCATCTCTGGTGAGTCTCCAGGTCCCCAGTCAGTGTCAGCAACAGGCAGCCCCAAATCAATCTTTCCCTCAGGCAGGCTCATTGTACCTCTTTTCCATTACTACCTGATGACCTTCCTAATTAGAAGGTCATATCTAGAAAGGGAAGATGCAGAGAACTATGCTGGGCATCCCAAGTGCTTTGGGAAGTCCACAGAGGACTTTACCCAAGTATGTTCTACAGAAATATTTCTCACTTCTGTAGAAATGTTCCACACCTGGTAGCCTGAAACACAACAGGATCCAGGTGACGTAGCTGTGAGCTTCTGTCATTCATTTGTTTCTTCCACTTGTGCATTTGTACCTCTCTCAAACCCTACCAGGTGTCACAGTCCAAAAAGCCATTTACTGGGGACAGTCAGTCAGTTCTGGTAGCAGGGATTAATCTGGAAATTACCAAGTAGAGGAGGAGGGGTAGTGGGAGGGAAGCCCTTATGTATATGTTCTCCAACTGATGTGAACACTGGAGAGGCCTTGTGCAAAGCCTTTGTGTCTTCATTTTGGGCACATACAGGTTCTAAGTATCCATGCCTACTTCCAAGCCCACTTCACCAGCACAGCTCTCACCTCAACCTAGCTGGGGCGTAATGGCAGGGATGATTAGTACATATCCAAGCCTGGAAAATTTGGCCAGGTGCCTTGCAGGCAGGGATCTAAGAACAGAGGGCCAAACCCTTAGCTGGCATAAATTAGCCTGGCTTCATTGAAACTAATAGAGCTATGTCAGTTGATACTGGCTGAAGAGTTGGCCCTGGGCCCACTCACTGCATAGGGTGGGAACAAAATGGCTCTGAGATGAAAGCATGCAGCAAAACTACACCAAAGAGTCTCCGGGGGGTAGTCACATTGGCACGTGGGCTCTGAATAGAACAAGAGGCCTTTGCAATATCCACTGAGAACAGAAAAGAGAAGTAGTTACAGGAAGGCACGACTGTGTGGGCAAAGGCAGCAGGGAATTCCACTCTACTGTACTATCCTGTGTACCTCTATAATGTTATGCAATATATATGACTCCTATACTATGCAGTGTTCCCAGTGCTGAGGAAGACAATGCCTTTTGCTTTAAAAGTTGTTCCCTGTGGCTTTCAGGTTGGTGCCAGCTTTGTTTCCTGTTTAAGATTAGTATGTTTGTTCCAGGAATATTAGCTAAAAATGAGACACCCCACATGTGTGCACACACATTCAGTGCTCTCTCTTTTAGTCACTCTGTCTGGTGTAAACAGAGGGTTATGGTGTAGAAACACCATTACATCATCTCCTAACAAGAAAAGAGAAGGAGGTTAATGGAGAAGAAATTATTAACTAAAAGATGTAATTTGCCTCTGATTTTCATAGATATTCAAGAACCTCTCTGAGCATTAAGACACCAGCTGTTAGAGAAGCCCTTAATTTGGTGCATTTGAAACATAGCAGGAAGCTGCCTAATTCCAGGGATTAAAAGCCTGTTTCTGCAAAGTAGGAGCAAGAACCTGCTATCAGAACAAGGGGCTGAGTATTTTAGAGGGATTTATAACCGCTGGGATCCTTTAGCTGTGCAGATGTGACAGTCCTTTAAATACGGCCTGCTTCCCATGTTGCTGCATCTTCAGTGTCCTTAATAAATAGGATATTCTCAATTGACCAAGTACATCAGTATGGTTTAGGGGGAAGGCTTTGTGCTGTCAGAAGCCCTCTATATTGGCCTAGAGTTTTCCCATCAGTCACAGTTCCATTATACAATGATAAAAGCTACGTAGCTGCTCAGACCACCCTTTTATGCTAAAATTGTTCTTCTGCCACCCAATACTGTACTTTAGTGACTGAAGGTTATGCAGGATATCTTGTTTCACACACTGCTTAGCATGGCAGAAGGGACATAAGAGGAGACTCTTTGCATGATCATGCAAACTCAAAGGACTGGGATGTGCTTTGACCACCTTCAGAACACAGATTATGTAGATAGTGTGTGTGGCAGGGCACTCCTTTGAGAGTGAGCAGCCTGAGAGGCTGCTTCTGGGTGGCAGAGGGGAGCTAATGAGGGACTTGCCTGACTAGAAGAGGGCTCAGGCTGGAGCTATATAAGCTCAAAGCTGGCACTGGTCAGAGAGTCTCCCCCCAGCAACCGTGAAGTGAGGAGCTCCTGGCTACAGGGTAACAGGGCTCCTGAAGGGACCTGGATTTAATTAAACTATTCTGCAGGTCTAGGGAACAGAGACATGGTCCCTGAGCAGAGAAAGGCTGAATTACAAGCAAGTGGCCTTTGTTTTATGTACATCCCTACAGGGTTTGAGGTGCCTACTAGAGGGTCTGAGAGCCCAGAGGAGGTTTTGTATATGGGACCAGAGGGTCCAAGAGCCCGGAGGAGGGGCTGTGTGCAAGCCGGGACCAGAGGGTTTGAAAGCCTGGAGGAGGGGCTGTGTGCAAGCCGGGACCAGAGGGTTTGAAAGCCTGGAGGAGGGGCTGTGTGCATGACCAGATGGCCCAAGAGCCCTTGGAGGCTGAGTGTATAGGCTAGGGTATAGCACTGGGTTGGAAGGTATGCCTTCTGGGAGATGAGAAAAGTTTTCCCTCTTAAAGGAGCAGAGGGCTGCTTCTGTTGTTGTTTGTGTTTCTGTTATAGCTCTGGGGCTTATGGCTTATGTTACTGTTTAAACTGATGGTTTGGGTTGGGACTGTAAGGGGAAGTTACGGAGGTCCCATTAGTACCCATGGGGAATGTGATAGCTTCGAGACTTGCCAGGGGCAGGCCCAAGGCCTGAACTATTGTTGAGCTCAGAGAGGGGCGGACTGCAAGGGCACAATGAGATAGGGCCCAGGGGCCTGGTGCTCAAGAGGAACACAGTCATATGGGGGCCAAGGGCCCAGTGCCCAAGAAGGGCACAGCAAGCTAAGGGCCAGGGGGCCTAGCGCTCAAGAGGAGCACAGCCATACGGAGGCCAGGAGGCTGGTAGACAGGGGCCAGGGGCCCGGTGACTCCTCATTACAGTAACATCTGCGAGGCTTGGGGTGTAGTGTAGGGGAGGAAAAGGAGCCATTCAGTTTGCCCTTAAGGCTACAGCTGCTCTACAGGGACCTTGTCAAGCTGAGAGGGATCCATCAGGCCTGAGGCTAAATTGAGACCCAGTGGGAAAGTATTAGGATCAAGGCTCACTCTAAGGCTTGTTGGCAGCCTCCCTTAACTAACCTTTAATATTAAGAATAAGGCATGGCAGGAGAGCAATCTCAGGAGACTGACGTTAAAGTTTGAGCCAGGCAGGAGCTGCAGGGCCACTAGGGGGTGTCACAGCCACTCCTGTGGCCAAAAGGCCACAGTGTGACGGCATTACAAACTAGCCCTTGTTTTCAGCAGCAAAGTGAGTGAGTTGGGAAGATGCTTCCAGTGCATACCCATGGGACAAAGGCAGTACCTAACAGCCCTTTGCGTATTTATGTAGCCCTGTGAGTGTGAATGATGTTTAGGTGAGGTCCCT